CATTTACTGTCAAATATGACACTGACAAGCGGGAAGTTTCGCCTGTTCTGGAGATTTCGAGAACCATCTTGGTTACCTGATGGAATCTATATAAGTGGCGAGGAAAACCAGACGGAGTCAGTGAAGTGACAGCAGCGACCGAGTTCAGAAGAGGTTAAACCCCGCGAGTCGGAAGACCGAGTTTTCCATTTGTTATTGTTATTGTTTGTAATGTTGACGTTAATTTAGAAGTTAGTTTGATCCTGTTCCGTATTTAAAGTGATACCGAGGTGAATAAAAGTTGGAAGCTGAAGAAACTGTTTGATACCCGGCCATCCACGGTACAATATATATATATATTACTATAGATAGTACTATAGAATGTTCAGTTTGTAGGAATTTTTGATACAAGGAAAACACCCTATTATACATCCTTTAAAAATTTTTAAAACAATATCTAAACATGGAACTTGTAGGTACATTAACCCTCTCTCCCCAAATGATACGTTTTTGATTAAAATTTGATGGCTTTAATTTTAGATTTTGATTCAATATCTGTAAAAACTGGGGAAAAAATGCTATACGAACCTAAATGGTTCAATCATGTAGGACTAATTTCAAAAAAATCTCCGCATGACATTTTCTCAGTTTAGTTACCTAGTCTCGGGGCACCCTGTATATCAATATGGGTAGTAATTTTAATAAATTGAGAATAGGTAAAGGATTTACCAATTACATCGAAAAGGGCTTTCGAACATTCGCCTCGTTTTTATGTTTGTACTTGAATCAGATGCATCTCTCCTCTTCTGGTTACTTCAGATCGATAAACAAATAAGCTCGCCATCGTAGGAATTCTCAAGACACCTATATTTGAATACGACCCCTAAACGACCTCAACCGTTTACAGATTTTTTGGAAATTTATTGAAGGTAATTTAAGCAGTTACTAAAGCTTTAGAAATACGGGACCATCACTTTTTCTTCTGCTGCATTGCCGCACCCTGTGTATTTAGTGTGAATTGATATTTTATTTGTACTACTTCATAAATGGATGGTGTAGTAGACCACTGTTCTTAATCTGTTACCAACTTGATATTGAAAATATAAATTACACTGTTCAAGATGACATTACTAACAAATTTAAAATAAAACGACTTTCGTATCAAGAATCAGTGATACTTTACAACTGTTCATACATAGTATCACTGCCAGCGTGTGATGGTTTTATACATTTTATTCCTGATAAAACTTTTGTCTTCAGCGAAGCTATCTATTTTGGGTTATTTACAACTTTTTCTAATCACATAGATAAATACTAAATACCACAAATAAAGTAGATCCCCGCATTCTGACTTGAGATAGTTGTGGACTTAAGTAGTCCGCGCTTAATCGAATTTTTATTATCTTAATGTATATGTTCGATAAAAAACTCATGAAAATTTTATATAAAATAAGTAAAACCTTAAAATCTACGGTTTTACAAAAATTGAAAACAGACTTACGTAAAACTTATTGAACTTGCCAAAATACCGAAGAGCGGTTAATAGAATAGAGAATATAAAATAAAAAGATATACATCTCTTCGCCCCTGCGAGAATTCCCGTTTTAAATTTTTCGATGGAAAACTTCTTGATGTTCAAGCCGTCTGAATCTCGTCGGCAAACATTATTCGAACAGTTTATTAAAAAACCGGAGTTTAATCCCCAGTGATGCTTTATAATGGTTTTCTTAATTAAAATTTCTACATTATGCTTTGAAAATGTACAGAAGAGATGCCTGAAGGTGTATGTTCAAGTAGTTTGTCAAACAAAAGTTTTAAGTTTGACAAACGTTTGGATTAAATTAAACATAACAAAGGCAGAGAGAGGTACATGATTTTATTATAGTTTACATCGTAGTTAAATGTGTAGTATAGAAAACGAAACATGTATTTGGAAACACTCACATGTTTCATTTCATTTACTTAATTAAACAGTTTTATTGTTCACACTTTAAACATACATATTGTAACGGAAATGGCCTGGGGTACTCACGTTTGGAATGGGGCGATCGAAATTGATGGTATTTCAGTAAATGGGAGCCCCATTTGCGCCCCATTTACTGTCAAATATGACACTGACAAGCGGGAAGTTTCGCACCTGTTCTGGAGATTTCGAGAACCATCTGGGTTACCTGAAGGAATCTATATAAGCGGCGAGGAGAACAAGACAAGGAAGTGAAGTGACAGCAGCGACTGAGTGCAAAAGAGGTTACACCCCGCGAGTCGGAAGACCGAGTTTTCTGTTTGTTATTGTTACTGTTTGTGAAGTTGACGGTAATTTTGAAGTTAGTTTGTTCCTGTTCCGCATTTAGAGTTATACCGAGTTGAATAAAAGTTGGAAGCTGAAGAAAGAGTTTGATACTCGGCCATCCTCGGTACAATATTTTTATATTAAAGAATTTATGACAGAAACACAAAGTCCACAATACAGCAGCACACAATCAACGAAAAGGTATGAACGGTAACTAGTTTTCAGGCAAATCTCTGTTCAACAATTTCGCAGTACCTATTAAGTGCATTTGCAAGACTTTGCAATCCTCTACCAATGCTTCCACGATCACTAATTCCAGAGATTTCCATCAATTCGTCATCCACTTGGGTTGAACTATCTGACAGTCGATTCATCGGTAAACCTAAAATAATTATAAAAAATCCTAAATATATCCACAAATAGCTGATAACATTTTTTAATTAGAATCTCAGCTAATGGTAATGCAACAAAAGAAAAATTTTAGATATTACAGTATGATGAAAATCTAAGCTTTTTATTCCTAATCTTTCATCTCCAAAAATTAATCATTCTTGGGACCGCAAATTTTCAGGTAAACTTTTGTACATCGGCAAATTATAAAATCGACCAATATAATAGACGCGCGTGAAGTTCTCAAATTCTAGTATTAATTGGTCTGTGACTTCTCATAATTGAACTTATTTTTATTAAAATTAAAGTCTAATTTGGAACATTTGACAATAACGGTCAACCCACGTAGAAACACGCCATTGAATGCAAAGTAAAATTCTATAATTTGGAATTTGAGCGATTCCTGGATTTATGAAACTGACCCACTCCGAATTTATGTTACTGTATTTTTTGTTGTATACACGGTGTTCACTTTAACAATGTACACCATTGGGGTCTAATAAACGCAACGAGATACATAGTTGATCAAATGACGAAAAAGTTAAGCATTGTTTCTCTATTTAGTACGATAAAAAGTCAATATGGCTTTCATAAGAAAAATCAAAGTGGACTCTTATTCTGCAATACTAGATACTAAAAAAAAA